TTGTACATATATTGTAGTTACGCATGCAGAATGTAGATTAAATGTTGTCGAGTTGCTTCTGTTAACTACATATGATTATTATAAGGCCCAAAAAAAATACATATAATTATTAATTAATGAGCATTCACTAATAGTAAGGTATTGGTTGCTTAAGGGTTGGTTTGGTTAGAGGAGGAGGGAGTGGATTTTTCCTCCCTTTTTATTTGGGTAGAAAAACGGAGGGGAGGCCTTCCTTAATAAAAGATTCGTTGTGTAAAACATTTTTTTAGCTAAATACCTTTTTACTTTGATATTGAAAATAATTTTGAAATTTAAAAAAATGTAACTAATTTTAACTGAATTTAATCTATACAAGGTTGTTAATATTCTATTATAATAAGCACAGTAAAGAGTAGAATACAAGAAATTATGTGAATGATCTCCACATGTATCTGAAAAAATCAATCATAACGTCTGTAACTTGTAAATAATATAATTAATTATGGGGTTGAGATGTAACGTTGTCCCTAAATTATTTATGGAGAAGCAATGTTTTTTTTAAGCTATTTAATGTAGTAATGTAACCTTTAAGTTAATTAAACCGGAGCATTTACCCTCATCATTTTAAACTAAAATGTTTGACCTTTAAGTAAAAATTTTGACCAATGAAGGCCATTAGCTTTAAATAATGGATGTTTTTGAATTATAAACAACGAGGGTAATATTATTCTAGTTTAATTAGTTCAGGGGCTATATTGCTCTGTTGAATAGTTAGGGATAATATTGCTCCTCCATGAATAATTTACGGGTAAAATTGCACCTTAATTCTTAATTATATTAATAATATAAATTAATTTGCAACAATCATGAACGAAATTGATATATTTTTAATTAACAAAATTGATATGATTCCTCACTCTATTATAAAATATAAGACACTTTGAGAAGATTATAGTTTCATTAAATAGATTTATTCTAATATTATCATTTCTCTCTCTATAATTAATTTTCATCCTTTCTCTTTTCAATATATTAAATAATAAATATTTTTAAAATTTTATATTTTTATTTTAAAAAAATAATGTTGTTAAGTGTATTTAATGAGATTTATTGGTATATAAAATTTTATTTAAAATAATTTATAATTTGGGATAGAGTGAGTATTATTGTTATTCAAATATTGTACAATATCCATGACCCACCTAATTAATTTGAATTACAACACTAATCATGGTTTTCACTAGGGGCGCAGCCAGAAAATTTTATTAGAGAGGATCGAGATGACAAAGCATATATGATAATTAAAAAAAATTAAATCTATATATATCATTAACGTAACATAAATATTTTAATTTATATATTTATATTCAATTTTACATATATGTAACAAAAATAAATATATACTTTTATTTTTTAAGTTTTTTATCAATTTTTTATTGCATAAAAATAATTAGTTATCATGTCTATGATAAAATTTTTGGCAATTTCTTTCTCAATATAAATTATTATTAAATTAGAAAAAATTTTATCTTCCCCACAAGCATTGAATAATTTAAATGCATAATTAAAATTTAAAGTTATGTTCAATCTAAAAAACCTATATTACCTGTTTACTGAATTTATTATTTAATTTTTTTAATTAATAATCATAGTAAATAAGCATATCAACACAATAATAAATTCATATAATAAATTTTAATAGCTTGGTTGTTATAAAAATAAGTAATTTTTTTAAAAAAATATATTTTAACCATAATGTTTTAACTTTTAGATAAGTGATTTTATGGTAGATATCAAACACATAACATTTCATATATTTTGAAATTTTTGTTGCAATAGTTAAAAAGGTTTGTTAGTAATGATTCTTATAATTTTTTTATTAAATGTAAAATAAAATCAAAATCAAATAACATTAATGCTTTAAAAGTAACTATAATATTATTTTATTAAAAATAAGTAGATTTTATAATAATTATATTTTTAAACTATTAAAATAATTGAGCTATACATATATAAAAGATTACTGAAGAATTGAAATAAAAATTTTATAAAGTATTTTAAAACTTTTATGATGTATCAACTAAAAGAGACCGAAGGTTTTCTCATTATCAAGAAGACAGATGATGTTGCTGAATTTGCGCCCAAAACGTGTCTTTGTGGTAGGTTTTGACTGACTAGGTGGCGCTTTTTCCACATGGCGTGAAGAACATTTAATTACAGGATTAAGTGTCCCTCGTACTTACTACGTTTGTTAATGTTCAAGCTTGAAACAGTATTGTATGAGGCACTAATCTTGACTATTTACTTCCCCCGTTTCTATATCTATATATATATATATATATATATAATTCTATCACACTATTTTAAAAAATCAATTAACTATAATAATTAAATCTGAAAAAAAATGAATTAAAATGTCTTATTTTAATTAACATAAACATACATTAATTATTTTTTATTGATATAAATTAAGGTTAATGAGTAAAATAAATTTTGAACTCTTACTCGAAAAACACCTTGAACTTTAAACTCTTAAAATATACAAAATAAATCATAAACTTTTAAATTTATAACAAATTAAACCCTAATGTTATCTTTTTTTTTTTAAATGTCATTTCTGTTCACTGTGGACCCAGTTAATTAGCTTCACAGACCCTAACTATTACAAAAGTAGCATCTTGAATCCTAAATTTTAAAATTTTGAGCAAATTACCTACATCGTTTATGTATAAAATGTTAACTATTATGTAAACTAAATTAACCTTGATGTAGTTAACCGTGGTAAATGCATCATTGGCCGTGACGAACGACCTATAATTTTATGAAATGACATTTTTTGCCCTTTTTTTAAAATTTTTTTTAAACAATTGGTATTTCACATTTTTGTGTACTCTATAACTCTGATTTAGTTATATTTTAAATAATATTTTTTAATTTGATAGTGAAAACTTAGGATTTCATTAAAAAAAAATTTAAATATTAAATAATTTTAATTAATCGATTACTTTGAATTTTAAATTCATTGATAAAGTCATTGACTTTCACGTCAATTGTTTGTAAAATTCTACGATACTTAAACTTTTTTTCAAATGAAATTTTAAATTTTCATCATTAAATAAATAAATATTATTTAAAATAAGATTAAATTAGAGTTATATAGTATACGAAAGAATGGGGTATTAATTGTTAGGAAATCATTGCAAAAAAAAGGCAAAAAATATCATTTCACAAAATTATCGATCGTTCGTCATGACAAATGATGCCTTTACCTCAGTGAATTACGCCGAGGTTAATTTGATCTACATAATAGTCAACGTTTTATACATAAACGATGGGAATAATTTACTTAAAATTTTAAAGTTCAGGATTCAGAATGCTACTCAAGTAATAGTTTAGGATCTGTATAACTAATTAATTGGGCTCACGGCGAACAGTAACAATGTTAAAAAAAAGATAACAATAGGATTTAATTTATTATAGATTTAAAAGTTTAAAGTTTATTTTATATATTTTAAAAATTCAGGATTCAGGATGTTTTTCGAGCAAGAATTTAGGATCTATTTTCTTCATGAATCCTATAAATTATGAAAAATAATTTAAAAAAATATATAATAAATATTTATTAAAATGTGTAATTTTATTTATACAAATTGCAAGTCAAAGGTAGTAGAAACGGAGGGAGTATACACATATGCAATAGCACATTCATGTTTCTTCGCATTTTTCAAACAATAATTGATGATTTCGTAAATAGCGCACCTAATATTTTGAATCTATGAATTTATGATTAGACATGGCCATGTTGACTGTCATAGCTTAATATTTTGTTTAAAAATCGTCTCACTTTTTTTTTTTTGGAGGGGCGTCCAATCAAGGACGAGATTGTCCATACATCACAATTAACATTAATGTATAAGTTTGACAAAAAAAAAAAAAACATTAATGTATAAGAACTTGTTTGGCAACTTGAATTTGTCCATCCGCGGCAAAATATTTTATTTGAGTGAAAGAAGTCGTATTAAACTATTGATCACCAAAGCTCATGTATACTTTTAATTTCTACGTGACTGACTGGTAAATAATTAAATAGATTAAAATCAATGGCAGTCATCCAATTTGATATAAAATATAAAATTTATAATAAAATTACACATTTTACTATTTGTGAGTGATGTGTTTCATTCTTCAATGTCGGCGGAGGCCACGTGGTTACAAAGCAATGGTATAGTGGAACAGCATTGCCTTCGGGAACAACCTGAATTTGAAGGAAATTTTCGATATCTTGATTCTTCACGGTTAGATTGATTAGGGTCCTTCGATATTGGCAATACTAGTGTTACATATTTACAACAAAACTTTGACAATTTACCCTTTTTATTATTGAAATTCTGAGTTTTAGGTTTTGCAACAAAATTTATGTCCATTCATAAAAGATTTTTTTAACAAATGCAATAACGTTAGATATTCGCAAAACAGCCTTCACAATTCACGAGGTTTTTGAATTAGAACGTGACACTGGGCTTTTACAGAACATTCACATTCATTTATAAGGGTTCTTTTGAATTTGATACTAACAATTATGGTGTTAAGAGTCACAGATTTTAGCTATATTTGTCTTTAGCCACAACTTTATCACAACCACAAACTATCTAAATAAAATTCAATTTCAAAAAGTACCTTATAGGAAGAAACTGTCCAATTAATTTATAAATCACACTCCACAAATGTAGCTTCCTGATGTGGAATTTATGACATAGCCCACCTCTCAAAAAGTGCCTCATTAGGCCTTCGGTCGATCAACCCCTTCATAGATAGTCCTTTTCACCAAAAACGACTCTTAACAAGAGTATTAATATCACGAACACAAGTTATTTAAGTAGAATTTACCCTTAAAAGGCACCTTGTAGGGAAAAGGTGCCTAGTTGACTGATAGACCACACTTCACTAATGTAGCCTCCTAATGTGGGACATATAATATATAAATCTCACACCACTTGTGATGAGCACAAATCTAAAGAATGAGTCCATCTTAAAAGACTAATCTATTGGGAGGGAGAGCTCCTTGAACATATAAACTCCGCACCACTTGTAAGGCTTTTTGATGCGAGACTCGTGACAATACCACCCCGTCAAAAGCTGACATCCCCAACAGCTTTACTTCACAGCACTTCACTCAACCTTATGTCGGTCAAAACCCTTTGTGGGTAGCCTTTTTCTTGACATCGATCTTTCAATAAAAGCACTAATATGACGAGCACAAACACAAAAGGAGAGTTCACATCAAAAGACTAGCTTATTGAGAGAAAGAGTACCTTGAATTTATAAACTTTACACCACTTGTGAAATTTTTTGATACGAGACTTGTGACAAACTTCTATATGGCCATTATAGATTAACACATGTACTGTATGGGTATATTTGTGTTTGCATGAGGGAATGTGTTTTCTCTATCAAATTTTTTTTTTTTTTGTATGGTCTTCTCTGATCTTTTTACTGTACTAAAAGAAGGACTCCACTATATATATTTATAATTAATTTTCATTTCTATGTGCTGATTTCATACAATTGCGTCTCCATTTAAAAAAAAAATTGAGAACATCATCCTAATATGGAAATAAATGCACTGTTCTTATTAGGGGAAAAAAAAATATTGGGCCGCTCTTATCGTGAAACCTTTGAGACATACCTCTTATATGAACCAGGGCACCTTCTGACAATTGTGATAAAACAGTCGTTTGTTTGACCAACTGTTTGACTGGAAGGGGAAAAAAAAGGAGTGGTCATGCCACACATGCGTTATTCCTCTTCCCTAACCATAACCCCTACTCTCTCCCTCTCCTTCCTCGCTTCCTCACCATGCTCCCTCACTCTTATGTTGTTGATTCTCTCTCTAAATCCCAGGACATTACTTCCACCATTATTGCCCCCGCCTCTCATTCTCAAATCTTCTCCACTTGTGCCTCCATCAATTGCTTCCTCCAATCTCACTCACCCAACCAATCTTGCCATGTTTTCTCTATCACCTTCCCAACCCTAATCTGCAAGCTCTTTGGCTTTGATGACTCCAATTCCTAGCCTTGAGCTCCTAATTCATCCAATGGATGGATTGATACCATCATTCCTTCCACTGATTCTAATTTAGCCTGTCGAATTTTCTCTCTTCTCTCCCTCGATGGCACTCTCCTCATTTCCATCTTCACCAAATCACCTCTCCCTCATTAAATATGTCTTCCTCGATAAGCGGTTGCTAGAGTGGTCCCATTTTCTGCTGTCTCGCCACAAGGATTTTGGTGTCTTATCGGATTTGTGTCGTCCCTTATTCAAAGGTAAAGTCTTCCATTATCCCTTAACAAATTAGGTTTGAAGTCTCAATCTCTCTCACAACAGGTTTACCAATAAGCTCTTTGGGTTTTCAAACCTCCAATGAACATTAGGATGAACAACTTTGTTGTTCTCCAGAAGGGTCACAGCTTGCAGAGTGAAATGATGGAAATATGATTTATTTTTGTCTCAAATTAATCAATGATTACAAAGGAGAAAGGACAAAGATGGGCCCTTGGGAATTGACATTTCCACCTCCATGTTTAAGCTTTGAGTATCTCTACCTCTATATTTCTCTCCCTAGGTCTCTTTGTTTTTTTCTCAAAAACGTGTGGTTTTGCAAAGAAGGAAGAAATGTGTGGAATTTTTGGGCTGTTGACTTTGTTTCTAGATCTGGGTTAATTTTCTTTGGCATCGAATTGCAATTCATCAAAAATTCCTTCAAGTCAACGCACATTCTAGTCAGGGTGCTCTAAGTAGCTTTCTTTAATTTGAGAGTCAGCTCGCTGACTATGAGTCATAAAAACAATACAAATCTGAAAATGGTTTTGTTCCAGCATCATCATAGTAACTCTTGAAAGCCTCCTTGAAGAAATGTACATCGATCATTCTCAACCTATCAATATTACCACGTTCTCTCACCTTCCTTTGTGCAATGGTGACACATAACGGCTTGGGTTGGAATGTCATTGTTGATTTCAAGCCAAGAGTTGCTTATAGATCTAGAGATGGTGAAGGTCGGTTTCAACTCTCGTCAACAGAAGAAGAAGAATGTATAGAAAGGGAGGAGAGAGATACAAGGAACAATGCCGCATGTATAACCATGTAGATAGAGATTGAGTCAAAATATGGTCAACTAATTACCTTCCATTAAAATTTAATGAAAGGTGCTAGATGTTTTATTTTTTAAAGTTCATAATTTATTTCACACTACATTATAGTATAAGTTGTCAGACGGTCCTCGAAAAATAATTGTTAGTTAAATTTACACTTTTGCCCTATATTCTTTACGTGCGCTGGTCATGTAAGTCTCTGTATCCATATGTCTTGCACATCTACTTCAGTTCCCTTATTTGAATAATGGGCATTCATTCATGAAGATCTCACATGTCAATCCTCCAAAGTTGGTGATAAGAATCTTGATGTAATAAATCTGCATGATAAGAATCTTGATGTTTTACATGATACAAGTCAACTGTTCATATGTCATTTCTTTATCTGCATGATGGAATCTACTGTTCACTAGTTCACAGGTGACATAGCATATTAATGGTTGAAGGACAGGTTTTATTTGCCTCCTTTTTCTTTTTTCCTTTTTCTTTTTTTAAATGCTGACCAAAGCTTAGCACAGTAATAACACTCCTCACCACGTGCATTTTCATCAAGAGCATGTAGCTGAAGACCATTTCAATAAATATTGGAAAAGGATCTTCATCACTCCAATATAAGCTTTCTTTTTTGGGGATCTATTCCTGCTTTATTTTGGTGTGTCGGAGGGTTCTGCAAGAAATACATGTCTCAGGTGATGCTGACACTTATATATGTTTTATTATTATTATTGGTGCTTCAATTTGTGTCCTATAGATGCTCTGGGGGTAATAGTTTGATCCCCTTTCCCATGCTTCAGTTTATTAAACAACTTTTTCTTGATGTTACGATAAAATAATCATTACTTGACATTATATCCTTAGGTGGTATTTTATTTGAGGATATCAAAATCTCATTTTCATTGTTCTGGAAAAATGTTTGTGTACATCTTGTATTAGAAACATATGAGGCTTACTGAAGCAACAGCCTCCTCCTATAGTAGATACTGTTGCAAAAACGATGTGTTTTGATTTGCATTTGGTCTCCTGGTTTCAATGCATGTAAAAAGAATCTTTTCATATTGATGCAGTGTTTTTACGTTTGGATTCTCTTCTGACCCTTCTCTAAAAGTTAAGATTAATCTGGAGGCTAGAGAAGAGAAAAGACAGAAGTGATTCTTGGTCCAATATTTTTGGCCATTTGTAGGATGGGAAGCATGTGCATAACATGAACTGCCTTGTGATTCTGAAATGATCTGATTTAAAGGCAGATATGACAACATTGGGGTAACAGGAACTAGAGACTTTAGGCTTACCGCTTACTAATGATATAACCATTTCACTTTCATTTTATGGCTATTTGCCTCTCCCAGATGTAAACAAGAAAAGAACTGAAACACTTACTGCCATTCATATAAATTGAAACAAAACCAGAGGCAAAGAATTCAATATATAATTAAGTTTCATAAACGTATTTAGTGGTATACGAAATATATCTTTAAGATGGTATTGTTATTCATTGCCATCAAATTGTACAATAATGACCAAGCACCTATGATGCACATCACATACGATAACCACATAAAAGCATGATCTTACCCTGTCCTCAGCAGATTTTAACAGATGGAGCACGAGAAGAGGTGCTTTGACCCCTGCTTTTGGAGCACTGTTGTCCCTTCATCCAAGTCAAAGCAGCCAAGAATCGATCCTTCCATCCCCAATTTGCAGTAGCTTCAGGTGATGACAATGAAGCGGATGTTACTCCTTTACATGCGTGGTCCGCAGGAAACCGATGCTTGAGGCACACCTTGAGCTGGCAAGTTTTACAAATACAGGTATTAGAAAATGTCAAGACCTCCTTGCATCTCCCAACAGGACAAGTGGGCTTTTTCTTCTTGCCGGGGTCACACATTCCAGATTTGTCATGCTTCTCCAATATAGCCTTCTCGTCGTGTTCATTATAACCGGTGGTCTCCATTGACATGGAACATGATGGGCAAATCACAACCTTCCTGCTGTTATGGTCTGATTTGGGGCAGTCGTGGGACTTGTAAGATCTGTGTTCCAAGCAGAAAACCTGCAATGTAAATGGGAGAAAGATGTGAGGATAGGGAGAATTGAAGGAATGGAGATTCAAAAGAAGGGAAACCTGAGAGCAAGCGTCGCATGTGAAAGGGAGGAAATCGAGTTGATTGCAATCAACGTGATGGCAGTGTGATCCCAAATCCGGGAAGGCTTCGGTTCCACCTGCCATGGCAGGTTGATTGCTTCTAGGACGGAACGGAAATTGGAGAATGAGAGCAAGGGAGGAAGGATGGCCTTCATATCGTTTATAAGCTGGGGATGGGGAATTTTACACCTGTCAGAAAGAAAACCTTGAGATAATTGATTTTTTCTATGAAATTAAATTGAGAAAATATTATTAAACAATGCTCAAAAGAATTTAATATCTAACAATGATTTTTAACAAGTAAACATTAATGATTAACCGAAATTCAAATTTTAATAAATATCTAATCCGTCTAATTCGTTGTTTAATATTAAATTATTTCAAAATTTTTCATTGATATTCTCCCAAATAAATTAAAATGACATACTTGTATTATTTTTGGGTTCCCCCCAATGTCACCTATAAACCCATTCAATATTTTTTTTAAAAAAAAAAAACCTTGGCCATTGTTATTTTTTCTTTTCTCTCTAAAAATAGCCATTATAAGGTTAATTAATAGAATACAATAATATTATATAATTTATGTAACTGTTTTCGTTTAATATGATAAAACTTGTTGTTATTGTTGTTGTTGTTTGGATTGTACGAAAGGTTGGGTTTTTTATTTGGGAGAATGACAAATAAAAATCTTATAAAAATATTAACATTAAATTAAAGTTTTTTTAATACTAGCATTCCCAAATTTTTATATTTATTGCCAAATAATATTTTTGACATGATTATCTCTAATAAAAAAAAATATACATGGCTAACCCAAAAAGAAAAAAATTGCATTGAATGAATGCGTGCAATTAAACGAATCAGAATCAGAATAAATATCAACGAGAGAAGGTATCATAAAATATTATTCACCCTACAATGACAGGTGATATTTTTTATTTATTGGAATAACCAAATTCGAGACCCCGAGGATTATAAATTCAGTGACAGTAATGAGAAGACATTTGAAAAGGAATCGCCCAACACAAGACCGCGTGGGGTATCAAAACTCGCAAAAGAAAAAGAAACATCAATTTGACAAGGGACCTTGCCCCCACGGCGTAATGTAATCAAAAGGGACTCATGATTATTCCTAATCCCCACAAACACAAAATTACGAGAATATCCAACCTGCTGCAAGCCTGGGACAGACTCATCATTTTGACCTTCAACAGAAAGCATCATGGATCATGAACCGAAGCCTCAATTCAGATTGGTTATTGCTTCCTCATAGCCAGTAAATTGTTCTTACCGGCCAATGAATCCTCATGACACGGTTTTAATAGATTAGCTAATAGTTAATTGATTGGCCCCAAAAAGTATTGATGAATTTAACTAATGATCAATCTCAGCCGAATTTATGAAAATTTTTGAAGGTTCCAATCTCTACTGAAATATGAATTTAACTAAAATCAATGTTTACACCAATTCTATGGAAGCATTGTCGCTTATCAACAGAGAATACCACAGAGGTCATCCATTATCAAGCATTATTAGGAAGATTAAAGTTTTCACAATGAAAGATTAAATTGTTACCTTTGATCACGTTTATAGAAAAACAAATAGATGTGCTGACTTATTAGTTTATCAGTCAATACATGACACTATCAACGTTATGATTTTGGATTTTCTTTTAATAAACTGTAATAACCTTATAGTTTTAGATATGACTAGACCATAATCCTTTTGCACGGTTTTGCCGTGGCCTTGTATTAAAAAAAAATATTGATAATTTTTTAAATATTAAATACGAATGATCATTGATCAATATCAACAATAGTAAGTTAACAACCTCAGAAACCTCAACTGAAGATGCATGCATAAACTTCCAAAATCAACTCTCTCCAAAGTCCAACCCCATGAAACTCAACCTACTATGCAGCCTCATTAAGTACATTTTCAAATAAAAAATGCACCTTCTCTATTTTGAAATTGTGTTGGATTAAATTTCCTTCCAGCACATGTCTTGCTCATTTCGGTAAGTAGATTTAATAATCTATCGTGCTCCGAACAATGCCGTCTGCCCAGGTTAGCTTCAATCACGCAGTAACATTAGTAACAGACGAAATATTGGACTTCATGACAGCTGGAGATGATCGAAAGCATTTAAAGACCAACAGCTTACACTAGCTCACACTAAGTAACTACATGTATCCAATGTATATAATTGAACCCTTTAAAATACCAACTTCACAGATAGAAATATGTATTGAGATAATAATTATCACCATCTGATTCTCACAACGAAGAATTAATTTTGAACCCAAAAAAATATTACAATCCCGGCATACCAATGGCTTGGATCAGTTAACCTGATCACACCTTCGCCTGATCTCTCCTCTCCTTCCGGTCTGCACTCCCAAGAGACTCAGTTTCTGCATTGCTTGTCCAAACGCCTGAAGGAACTTGTTCTCGTCCGCCGCGAACTGCTCCACGAACGGCCTTGTTGTCGGGTCGGTGTACAACCCGTGATCCGATTTCAAAACCCCCAAACCCTTGGGGAGGTTCTGGAAATACATATTATCAAACTTATTGGGCGTCATTATATCATTGAACACGGATAATGTAGGATTATTCCTGTAATCAGCGCACGCCCTCTGCAACCCCTGCGCGAATCGAGGGTTGTAGTTAGGATCGTAAAGGGAGGAGGCGCTGTAATTGTAGATATCTCTGCTGATTTCGCTGCAGTGGGAGAATCCAATGGTGTGGGCCCCGCTCAGAGCCACCATTTCCTGGACGGAGAATCCTCTGGAGGCGAAGATCTGGATGATCTGCGACATCGGCATGGTCGGTCTGGGGAGATTGCCTTCAACGGAGGAAGCCATGGAAACACGACCGTCTCTGCGGCCGAGGTAGACATTGTAGTAGGGGCCACCGAGCATGGTGACGAGGTCGCGAGTGGCAACGGCGAGGATGTCGGCGCAGGAGACCGTGTTGGGGCAGGCGAGCTCGAGAGCGGTCTTGGCGCGAACGATGACATCAAAGCCGTCGCCGGGGAGGGAGAGGTTGATGTCGGCGTCGCGCTCGGCTTTGTTGAAGGAGGTGGAGGAGATGAGGACGGAGGCGTCGCAGCCGTTGGGGAGGCAGTCGTGAAGGAAGAGGCGGAGGGTGGCACCGGCGGTGGTGGGGCTGGTGATCTGCTTGTTGGTAACGGTGTCCTGGATGATGTGGGCGAATTGGGGGCAGGACTTGGCGTAATAGTCGAAGGAGAGCTTGGAGTGGGAGGGAAGGAAGAGTAATGAGAGAGAGGAGAGGAATAAAACGAGAACGGGAGTGGCCATTTGTGAGGTGAGGGAAGGGACAGAGGAGGAAGCTCCCAGGAGGTAAAGACGAGACTGAAGAGCCGGAGAAAATAAAGGCTTGTAATTTAAATTACATAAATCTACAGTAAACGCGCTCTCTGCACAGCATCCGCATCTTTCTCATCAGCTGGATATGTCGCTCAATCAAATGCATAAAAATAAAAAATATGTAAATTGCTTCCCGCTGTCTTATAAGATCAGTATACAGTATACACTAATATGGGAGCAGTCAGTAGATTGTAGAAGTCGGATATAAAGATTTAAAAATTGGCTAACTGGCTGATTCATAGAAAAATATGTGGGAAAATATCACCAAAGTACCATAGGAGGTATTTTATGTCACGAAGGACATCAAAATTCTAATTTTTCACTGCACTTCCTTAGTGTTTAATTGAAAATAAGTTTTTATAAAAAATGATCAAATTATTTTTACAGTTTAAAATAGTAAGTGTTCATCTTATATAAATAATAAGTCATTTCAATTTTGACAACTAATAATTTATAGACAACAATACATTTTAACTTTGACAAAATTAAAAAATTAATATTATAAATTTAACAGAACAAGTGTTTACCTTATATAAATAAAAAGTCATTTAAATTTGGACAATAATTAGTTTTTGATTAACAACAACACATTCAAATATTAACATCCAATTTTCGTTTTATTGTTTTTCTTTCATTAAGAGGGGCAATTAAGTCATCCCAATGCAAATTTGTTTTTAGCCAAAGATTAAAGGGGTATAATAAAAAATCATAATCTTAATATAAAATACCTCCCATGGTCCTCAGAGAATATTTTTCCAAAATATGTACCTCCTCTACTAAATATTATGGAAAAATGACAGTTAAATCTGATAATATTAAATTAAGAACAATTAAGTTCTCAATAATTTTTAAAAAATTTGGTTGAAAAATATTGATCCAAATAATTAAAATCCTGAATTTTTAATTTTAAATAAATATTTAAGTATCAAATATAACTTTTAAATTATACATTTCTATTTGTAATTATTTGAATTGATATTTATAATTTATTTTATAAAAAATTTATTCAAGGATCTAATTGTTATTAATTTAAAGTTCTAAAAGTTAATTATCATTCTCCCTATTATTATAAGACACATCTAATTACCTTGCCGTAATTAAAGAAAGGTAATAAAGTTATTGATTTTGTGTGAGAGAACTTGTAATTTTACCATATTTAAATTTTTTTTAAAAAAATAAAAATTTACATTATATTGATCAATGAGTTTAAATAAAAATAATATTAAAAATATAATTAATACATTATTAAATATATTATAAGCAAAATTTATTTATTTAATATTATATACTTAATATATTTTTATTCAATCAAATCAAGACATGTGAATTTTAATGTGTCAATAATATTAATGACATAAATTTGTCATAAATAAATAATTTATGAAAACTAAAAGATACATTTCTCTTAATGTAATTAAAAATAAGCATCATATATATGTAAATTTAAATATATAAATTTTTTCAATCCTTATTCCCCTATCGCACTCCATTAGCATTGACTGCCAACCACTGTATTCTTTTGCCATTGGCCACCATCCCGCTGACATGGACCAACGCTGCTAGCCACCCTCCCCTATCCTCCATCATCATACATTGGCTTCCTCTACCTGCAACTCTCCTCTTCATTCATCGTCCATAATGGCCAATTCAGTGATTCACTATTCCATGATATTATTTTTGTTTAAGTTAATAATATAATATTTATTTTATATGTTCTATTATGCTTGAAAGAGGTTGCAGGTTCAGACTAGTGATGAGCTCAAGAAGACAAGCGGGTACTGTGGCCCCTCATATCACAAAATTGTTTTCGTAAGTAAAATTTTATTTATGAAAAATGTTAAATTAATTTTTGCCCCCTACTTTTAGATAAAATTTTAATTATGTTCCTCCCACACAATGATTTCTTGATTCATGCGTGGTTCCCTTAATGTTTGATATATTTGTGTGTGTGCATAGATGCGCGCGTGTCTCTCCTTTGTTTATAAAGAAATGTTATGTTGGGATTAAAATTTCTTTTTTTAAAAAAAAAAGACAAATAATAGTCATTGTAATTTATTTCTTTACACTTGTCTGCTATTAAAAATTCATAATAATATTTTTATTGAATAAACTACTCAAGGGAAAAAAATATAAGTAATTGTCATAAGTTAAAATACCAAATTCGAATATAATGACATCAATAAATGAGGATGAAGTTTAAACTTTAAAATGAATATTAATTTAAAATAAATGTCTAAAACAAAACTTTGGAATTATCTTATATGAATTGGATATATAATTTCGATTTCAAATATTTTAAGAAACAATGAATTATGCTGGGGGCAGATGTGTGACACATGGGTATTTTTTTTTTATATAAATATAAGGAATAAACCTCGTCAACAATAAAAAAAACTCTGACCTTTCCCAACTAAATTACTTTCTTCATTTTAAATTATAAGTATTTGTTTGGATTCTCTTTTAGAATTAATTTTGGGACCAACATTATAATTTTGCAAAAACTTATCCAAACATTTCAATTTTGCAAAACTCTATTTTGCCGGTGAAACTATATTTTGGAGAATTTTTTTTTCTTTCTTCAGTTCTTAAAATTTGGACATTTTCCATTTCCTCTATCTTTATAATTGATTCTAAAAAATTATTCAAACATCTTCAATATCAAAATCAATTTCAAAAAATATTATTCAAATATCATCACATTTTGTTAATCAGTTTTTGTCAAATACACCCTAAAATAATTTGAGATAAGATTAGGTATACCAAAAAAAAACAACAATAACACTTTATCAACTCCTTTTTTAAAAAAAAATCATAACTTTTAAAAATATCCCTAAGGGCTAATATTGAAAAAATATTATTAATGAAACCTAAGGGCTTATTTGGTATGATGGAATTGGGAGAGTGAAAATTGATATGAGAATGGAATTGAAATTTTTTTTATATTTGGCTGGTTAAAATCTGGTTGAATTGGACTTTCACATAAAAATCATTTCCATCAAAATTGTTTGAATTGGATTCAATAAAAAAAAGTCAATTTTCAAATTTCAAGTCCCTAATTTCACTTTCTAGCCCTTCTTCTCTTCTCAAATTAGGTGTGTGAACACAATGACCTCCTATCAATCTTCGAAGTTCCAACCGATGAACTTATCACCTACTTCTTGTGACTTTCTCAGTGGTGACAACCTTCCTCAAATCCATGAAGGGTGAGGATGAAAACTCTCAAACTTACTTGAACTAAGGAGAGTTGAAATGGATGAATAGGAACAAGTTTGATTGATGCCAGCGACATGTGACAAAGTTAGAATTTTCACAAGGTTAAAATATTTTAAAAGCTTCTGGAACAATCCTAGACGATCAAGAAAGCATCGGAGTTTTTTGGAATATACTGGTATGACCTTGAAAGACCTAGATATTTCTAAAATAGTATAGAGAGCACTTGAAGTATCTAGAATATTTTAGGGATGTCCTCCTCTTGTACATTCTAGAATTCTCCTTGTAAATATCAAGATATTCCTTGTAGATATTTTTATAGAATATTCTAGAGATAGAATATACACCGTTGGATCGAATCAATACCAACCGTCCATTAAGGAGGTGGGAACTTTCTAGAAGAAGGGGGGAGCCTATAAATATCCCCTCACCCCTCATTTGTAACCACTTAAGCAAAGCAATAAAGCTCTCAAGTTCATTTACTTAAGCTCTTTACTCTCTACTTGTGCAACTAGTTTTCTTAAATCTCTTTGCATACTTTGTGGGTTCGACTGAATTAGTCAAAATCAAGAGGTTAATCAAGGCTAAGGCCGGCACGGTTCAAGGAAAGGGAAGTTTCAAGGCCATGACAACGTGGTATTAGAGCCAGGTTTGAGGGAGCCATGGTTTAATTGAGGAGACTCTTACTCATGATGAAGAGAAGGGAAGGGAATCCCAACCTCTACACCAAGGTGGCAAGAAGGCACAAGGCACTAGTAAGGTAAGTTCAAAAGACCTTATTATACTCTCCATAAAAATCGATGCTTTAGAGAAAGTTATGGAAGAAATGGTGGGTAGAGTAGAAAAGGTTGAGGATGATATAGGTTTGTTGGAGGACCACACTCTCGAAGAACTTGAAGAGTTAAAAAGTAGTATGGATACCTTACAAAACTCTGAGGATCAATGGGAGGATGCTGTGAAATCCTTAGAGACAAAGGTGATAGATGCCATCACCACGATGTAATAATAGCTCAACACTCTCAAGACTTTCGTAGAAGAAAGAGGAAGGAACCCATTATTAGATGAAAATAGTGGAATAAGGGGAGTCAAGTTAGACCTTCCCAAACCCAAGGAATTCAAGGGGTTACGAGATGCCAAGGAAGTTGAGAACTTCTTATGGTAGATGGAATGTTATGCCAACACCTTAAGGATGATTGATTATCAAACTAAGGTATGTATCGCTGCTTACTTCCTTACAGACAATGCCATGCTATGGTGGCAAGGAAGCATCCAAATATAGACAAAGGGCTTTGTACAATCAATACTTGGGAAGATTTCAAGAAAGAGTTGGAAAGACAATTCTACCTAGAGAATGTGGTCTATGAGGCACGAAAGAAACTGAGGGATCTCAAACAAAAGACCACTATCTCTAACTACATATGAGACTTCACCTCTTTAATGCTTCAAATTCCCAATCTGAGTAGTGAAGAAGCTCTCTTCTATTTCATTGATGGCCTCTAGAACTGGGCCAAGCATGAGTTACAATGGCGTGATGTGAAGACCATTAATGAGGCAATCACAGTAGCTTAAAGTCTCACAAAGTATCACAAGGAAAAAGGTGAGCCCTCTAAACCTAAGTCTTCCAAACCTAATCCTGGAAAAGGTAAGGGAGATAAGGGCAAGGGGATATCCAAAAAGGGTGATAGCAAGTCCCCACAGAAGAAACAACCTGAAGGGCAAAAGAAGACCTTCAAAGACTAGACGAGATGATTTGTGTGCAAAGGCCCTCATCGAATGAGAGAATGTCTGAAGTTAGGTACA